CCACTCACGATCTCTGCTACAAGCCATCTATGTGCTGGCCTCTCATCACTACTCTTCTCTGCAGCTGAACTTGGGTTACTGCCAGTGGAACTCCCTTTTAAAGAAAACAAACAAGGAATCAAAAGGGCTAAACGGCAACATCAAATATATTGCAGAAATGAAGCAGAAAAGGCATAGTTACTGAGCTGCAACTATGGATGTGGAGGTCAAGGACTTGAGTTCTCTACCACTGCCAGCTGGGGTATCGATACTTGCAGATTGTGTGATGTTGGCAAATCCTTCGAAGAACTTTGCGTCTGGTGAGTTAGCAGGCAAGTGCAGAAGATCTGAAAGAAAAAAGTAAACCCAAAAGGTTAGTAAATTCATCAACCGAATGAAAGGGTTTGTATCACTGGACGACAATTTCCTTGTGTTCTCCTGGACTTACCGATGCATTCTGTTACATTAACAGGTGAATGGCACAAGCTAGGAAGTTTAGCAACAAGACTAACATTGAACTTGACACCAAGATTAGGATTATCACGATCTTTAATTAGGACACAAAGGCATTTCTTACTCTTATCCAACACCTGTTTAAGGCCACTGCAACAATCTAGGGTAGGAGCTTTAGCATCACCACTGACATATGGAAGGCACGTGGCCAAACCCACTAGTTGGTCTGCACATTCTGCTCTGTCTTGCTGAAAGTCTGATTTTGCAGAGCCAACTAGCATCAACAGCACCAAAATATATGAAATTGCTGAGGTAGTCAAGACATTTTTTGAGCCCATCTCTGGTTGAGATAGAGAGAAGGGAGTATATGGACTTCAAAGAAAAGAAAGGACACCTCAAAAGATAAAAATTCTCGGGCTCACCTCTGTCAGAGTCTCAATATAAGGGGTGTGCAAAGAAATTGGTACTGGTGTGGGGACGAGAAATAATAATGATTAGTTAGGTGGTATGACGATGATATGGATGAACTTTTTATTTTTATAAAAAAATATCAAAAAAATATAAGATTATAATTCTTGAATAAAACGTTAAACTGAAAATTTTTGACTGGAATACTAGATTTAATAATAATATTTATAATATAAATAATAATATTTAATTTATTTATCTAAATTTTTATATTTTTTAATTTTTTTAAAAAAAATTAGTTTTTTTCAGTAGCAATAATAATATTATTTAAAATTTATTAATGATAACAATAATAAAAATAATAATTTTTAATTTTACTCTTCAAATTAGATCTAAAGTTGTTTTTCAATATTGATAATAATTGTTTTTCAAATCTATTAATTATTTTTATATTAATATATTTAATTATAATAAAAATAACAATATTTATAATAAAAATAATTTTATAAATCTTAAACCTAAAAACCTTGAGTCTAAATGCTGGACCTAAGAGAATTAGATCCAAAGGAAGGACCTAATCAAGATAAATACTGATGCAAAATTCATTAGCCTTAGATCTTGATGCATGACTCTTGGATCCTGACATTTGACACTAGAGAATTGAGTTATGATGCAATACTCAAGATAATTGGGTTTGGAGCAAAAACCCAAGTGAAACGAGTCCTGACATCAGACTCATTAACATTGGGTCCTAACATATGAACCAAGAGAATTAAGTCCGCACTAGGTGCTTTTAGATCTCTAAACTTATTTGGTCGTATTATGCAACTGGATCCAAAGGTATTTTGAGTCCTGCCCCCAATATGATTCAACTCTAATGGGTCCTACTTGGAGCAGTACCTAACACATAGTTTATTTATGTATTTAATAATACATATAATTCAAAATTATTGAATAAAAAATCTAAAGACAATAAAACTTTGATAAAACTTTGAATCTCATACATTAATATTATAAAATTAAAATATCTTCTATGATTCGAAATAATATTATATCATAATATTTATAAATTATTTTTTAATTGATTTTATTATTCAACAATTCTCTTATATAATACAAATATATAAAGTATATAATGTGAATCAAAAATTTATTAAGAGCTCCATCAACTTTAATATGATAATATTAGAGAAAAAAATTAAAAATTTTAAAATGTTTTTCAAAGAATTTTTATAACGCAAAAATAAACATGTTTTTTTAAGGAAATTCAACACAACCTTAAATAAAAAAATTATGATCACCCAATTTTAAAATAATATATAAAAAACTCCTATCAATTTATTTCTTCTTTATTATATAAAAAATAATATATGAAAAAAAAGAAAAAAAATAAAAGCATTATGTCTCTACGTTATGGGTTTTGCTTGCAACAGGAACCAAGACTAATAAGTCCACTTAGCTGGATTTAAAGTTATTCTGGGTCCTTTTAGAGCAAAACTCAACTCGAATGAGTCTCGCTGGGCAAGACCTAACTTAATATATATTTTATTAAGTCTGGATTATATTTAAAAAAATATAAAAATATAAAAAATATTAATTTAAAGTAAAAAAATAATTAAAATAATTTCAATTTGTTTTCAAAGCATTCTTGAAACACAAAAATAAACATATTTTAATAAAAAAAATCAGCCCAACTTGAAATGGAAAAAAATAAAATTATCATCACCTAACTTTTGTATAATATATAAAAAAATTATATTAATTTATTTTCTCTTTACAGTCTAGCTCCTCGCTTGTCATCTGCCCTAATATGTTTTGAAAAAGAAATCTCAGACTACTTGTTGTTTGGGATTTTTTAGATTCAAGTCATTGTGGTAGTAAAAAAAAATATAGTATATGTTTGTTTTACCAAAAAAATTAATTTTCAATTTCTTTTTTAACCTAAAAATACCTATAAAAAAGTATAAACTCATTTACAAACTTATAAATGACCTTAAAAAACCAAGAAACATATCTCAAAAACCTAAAACCAAAAATCTTTTTAAGCTTAGATCTAATTTTTAGGCTATTTCAAGGTAAATGAAATTTTCTTCATCAAATGAAATCTTTTGACATTAATATTGATTATTTTTTTGGTTGAAATCAGTAAAAAATTGATTTTCTCTCTTTATTGCCAAATTTTGGTAACCTTTCTTTTTTATTTCTCAAATCAGAAACTAACAAATAACAAAAATAAGATTTTATACCAAATTTAGATTGAAAAAATTATTGAGGGACCGAATTTACATATGTTTTAAAGTTTGAGGACCAAAGTTAATATTTTTTGTGAACTTTAAAACTATCACCTATTTAAGTTACTTTTTTTTTTTTTATCTTAGTCTCCTGTCTTTCAATTTTATTTTTTGTCAATAATTTTGATTCAATTGTCTTTAAATTTGACTAAAAAATATAATAGCACAAAAACACTAAGAGACCAAATTAAAATAAAAAATAAAAAATCTAATCAGTATGTCCATGATAAAATGTGACATTAGATGGTGTTATGCGTGCCTGTTTTAGATTATAGGTAATTATGTGAGTAACTTTGAAAATCTATAAACATATTTCATACTTTTTTATTATTAAAAAAATTAAAAAAGGGATTAAACTATTAATTAGAATAGTATTTTGTTTATTTTTTTCCTTTTTTTTCCTTTGAATTTTTTCCATTAATTTTTTTTTCAATTTCATGATTTAATCTTTAATTTGCTTTTTATTATATTGTCATGATATTATAATCTGGGTTGTGAATTTGACGAGTTAATCTTATTTACTTAAGTTTTTTAATTAATTTTTTTTTCAATTTTTTCTTTTAATAGAGTTTGGGTTACGGATCGGAAGGATCAACTCCAAAATTTATTTTCTTTAAAAAACAAAAATAACATAGTTTTGATTTAAAATATATATATTTTTTTAAAATCAATAGGTTAATAGTTTTAATCGAATAAGGCCTAATTAAATTGATTAGGTCAAATAAGTTTTTTTCTTTAACCCAAATTAGTCTAGGCTTGGGTTAATTAAGTCTTAGATTAACGCTAGGCTAATCTAGATTTTAATGCATTCGCTAGGCTAATCTAGATTTTAAAACAATGCATTTTTTCTAGAATGGGTTAACTCCATTTTTTTAGATTAAAATATTATTTGGTTCTTATATTTTTAGAAAAATAATTAGTTATTGCATTTTTGACATCTTTTTATATTAGTTATCTTGCCTTAGAAACCTTTGACTTGATGTAAAGAATTAAAAAAATAAAAAAAATTATTATTATTTTGATGCAAAAAACTTTTAAAAAATATATTACATCATAATACCAAATAACATGCATTTAACCTAGAATAATTTCAATCGCTCACTCCACCTATTGGGGTTCAAAGATACGACATTAACGTAAAACTAACCTCCTTACTATATGAACTAGAATCTTTAAAGTCTTCTTTTCATGATTAATGCCATTACTATAAACATAATTAAGTATAGATCATGGCTGTGATCATGCGGTTCATATTGCTTTAGGTCTCCCAAATTTGAATGATTGCAATATAAGGAGTGATATCACCAAACACGTTTACACAAATGTATAAAATGATTGCATGCTGTGTTCATTTTAAGGTAAGAAGCATTTAAAGCTATGAGTTAGGGAGTTCCCCTCTCTGTAGGCATGCTGACATAGACCTAAATGTTGCCTGAAAGCTCAAGCCATCCATATCTTATCCCCGTTGCTATAATTAAATTATGATTTGATTTTAATAATTAAATTATGGTTAATTTTTAAATTAAATCAAGTGAGAATTAATTTAGTTAAATTTTTTTAAAATATTTTTTTAAATGATATATTTTTGATTTTTCGATGTTATTTCTATGCTTTTCTACAACTCCCAATCATTTAAATAACATTTTTACCCTGCTCTAATTTTATCCTCTAAGATCCTTATATAATTTGATAATATCTCATAAGAGTAATAAGACAAATAAAAATTAGACTCATCACTAATTTTAAGCTCCCATTAGCTATTTAAAGTTTTAATAGTCGAAACTCTTTTGAACTTCCAAGGATCATACTGATAACTTCTAGACTATAAGGGTATAATTAGACATTGATAAATCTACAGGGGTGAAATATATATAGTTCACCCAATTGGAAAAAACCGTTATCTTCAAATTTTGCCCCAAAACAAGAAAAATCAAAACTTGAAATCTCCTTCGCTCTCTCTCTCAATTACAAACCCTAAATCCTCAAATGTCAAAAACCCTAGAATCTCCACGAAATCACCAAACCCTAAAAATCATCAAATCGGCAATCACTTCAAGACTTCTCCTTTTATCACTAATCCTCCTCTGGCGCACCCTCATTGATCCATACGACACGTCGTCTCCTCTGGACCCCAATTGCCTCTCCACAGACGATCAACAGGAAGAACGACATGTCATTCAAGTTCCTCGAATTGGGTCTGCAATAGAGGGCAGTATTGTATGGGATAGCGTCTATTTTGTCAGAATTGCTCAATGTGGATATGAATATGAGCAAACTTACGCGTTTTTGCCTTTGCTTCCTGCTTGCGTTGTCCTTTTTTCACGTACAGGTGCTTGAAGTTTGGTGTTTCTTACATTGTTTGTAAGATTTTTGAGGTTTCTGGATCCTAATATGAATCGGGTTCTTCTTGTTTTATGGCTATTTTGCCTTAATAGTATGATTTTGAGCTTTTATAAATCGTAAGTGGAAATGGTTTTCTTCTTTGGTTACTTTGCCACATGAGTAAGATTTTCGAGCTTTTTGGATCATAAGTTGTAATGAGAGTTTTTTATTTTTGGTTAGTTTGCCTTATTAGAATGATTTTTGAGGTTTTTGGATGTTAAATTGAAATGGGTGGTTTTTGTTTTTGGTTGCATTTAGCTTATTAGTGAGAATTTTGAGCCTTTTGGATTATATATCTGATTGCTTTTTTTTTTTTTTTGGTGAATTTTACTGTTGATTTCAGTTTTAGCGCCGCTGGTTTCAGTTATTGGGCACAGGGCTGTGCTTGCATTGGCGGGTTATTTGGTTAATAATGTTGCATTTGTGCTCGCGGCAGTTTATTTTTACAGGTGAGTTGTTGGTTTATGTTGCGAGTGTAATTAGAGTTGATGTGGCTATTTGTTGCTCGTCAAAGTCCAAAAAATTGCTGGTAATGAATGTCATTTGATTGGCATGCTATATTGAGAATGAGACTCGAGTTTGTAGAGTCAGAGGTCCTAAATAATTTATTGAAGTAAAATTTTTTAATTGGTCTTATTTGGCGAGCCTTTTGTTTGATATAATATACACCCAAACAATTTTTTATTGTGCTATAAAGAAGGCTGATTTTGCTTGTTCTGCTATTATCTGTGTTTATTGTAGAGACTATCTTCTGAATTTTTTTGGACTATTGACTTTATCTTCATTTATTTGGAGGTTTTGCAATGGCATCTGGGAATGTATTTTATCGCTTGAATACTCTGTGTTTGATAATTGGCATGCATGATTCTCCTAGTATACAATTTCTGATTGTTGCCCTTGTATTTGGTTGTCCTAACAGGGTTTCAGTTATTATTTTGAAGGACCCTGAAGCAGCATTTCAAGCTTCAATTTTGTTTTGCTTCAATCCAGCTTCCATATTTTATTCATCAATGTAACTTCTCATCCTCTTTTATCTTGAATTGAAGTTTTAAAAAATTCAATTAGACTGGGCAATTTTTTTTTTTTCATGTGCTTGTTGTTGCAGATACACTGAGAGTTTATATGCATTATTATCTCTGGGAGGGTTGTACTACTTAATATCTGGTGCAAGAAATGTAGCTGTTCTTTGGTTTGCTCTCTCTGGCTGTGCAAGGTCAAATGGAGTGCTTAATGCTGGCTATCTCTGTTTTCAGACCATGCATCAAGCTTATGATGCTGTATTCCTACAAAAACGTGCTTATGTAAGTATCTTTTATTCTTTACAGGCATGTTCTTTTTGGTTCAGGTGTTTCTGCTTGTTTATACAAAAATGTGTCTGTTGGCTAACTCTTCATTTTCAGCATAAAGGTCACAATTTGGATGTTGTTTCTGTTTGTTTAAATGGAATCTTGTTGATTGATTAACTTGTCATTTTCAGCATAGAATACATATCCACACACGACATTACGTGTGCATTCCAGTTCTTTATTTTCATTGCTATGTGGTGCATGTTTTGTGAAGTTTCAATTACTTGTGACGAGGTGGCATCTTTAATATTCTTTATTTCTGTGCTAGTTGGCAGTGAAGGTTCTCATTGTTGGAGCACTGCGTTGCATATGTATTTTCATTCCCTTTATTGCGTTTCAAGCATATGGCTACTACAATATCTGTCATGGGCATTCCTTGGATGAAATGAGGCCTTGGTGCAAAGCCAAAATACCTTTGCTGTACAGTTATATCCAAAGTCACTATTGGTATGTTCATCTTGGACTATGGATATTATGGTCTCTCGTCCCAATAACTCATATTTTCAATGCAGTATTGACGCCTAGAGTTTGATCAATTGCTTTCCTTATTAGACCCTGGTACTGACTAGAATATATATATATATATTTTTAATAATTTGTATGTACTGTGAATAGCAATTAGCTCCACAAACGTGAAATTCTTGATCTGTTATTCTTATATTGGTGGCCACTTTTAATGCTAGGGGAGTAGGTTTCTTGAGATATTTTCAGTTGAAGCAGCTGCCAAACTTTCTACTTGCATCTCCAATATTATCTCTGGCAGTTTGCTCTGTTCTCCATTACGTGAGGTCACAACCTGAGATATTTTTCTCACTGGGTTTTCGAGCTCCTAATGGAGAGAAAAGGCCTACAGCTTCACCATTGTCTCTAGATAGAGTTCCAGAATCAAACAGCTCTGATTTGAAGGAGAAATCCTCTGCTAAAATGCAAGGTACATCTTTCAAACTGAACCATTTAAATTATCTGTTCATGTGTATCTTTTTGGCTGTGATGGTAATATTAGTACCCTTAATCAAAAACAATATCTTCATTGAATGATGGGTAGTTGATGCTTTTGGTTGACCGCCGGTAGTTAATTGTGTGCACTATTTATGCCTGTCTGATATTTCCTTTATAATTACAAATGTGCATCTATGCTGTTGATATAGAATTTAACTCTCTGCTTTAATATACACATTATCATTTCTATTCTGTCCTTTACCTTATTGTCATTGTTAGAATGTCATCTCTTTTGTATATATTGCCATGAGTGAACAACTTCTTGAAAGATCATGCTTGTAACAGATAAATACACTGTTAGGGAGAGGAAGCAGAGGATCAAAGGGGATAATTATGTACTCCTGGATGAATATGATTCATTAGAGAAGCCCAGATACTTGTCTACCTTTATTGTCCCATGCACTCTACATCTGTTATTCATGGCAGCCACAGCATTTTTTGTCATGCATGTACAGGTTAGTCTGATCCTTACTATGTTTAGCAGAATTTGTGGCTTCCAAATAATGGATCAGGTTTTTCACTGTAACTTTGAATCTTTTTCTCTGTTGCTCGATAATCAACAGGTTTCCACTCGTTTCTTGTCAGCCAGTCCTCCTCTCTATTGGTTTGCATCACACCTACTGATATCTCCTGGTACTGGTAAGAGATGGGGATACATGATCTGGACATATTCTACAGCCTACATCCTTCTTGGCAGTTTGCTCTTTTCAAACTTCTACCCTTTCACTTGAAACTTGAATGGATTCTTCCTGTTTAGCAAGATGCAAGCTTCTCCTGCTTGTCGATTGTTGCCATTTTACTTGGCCAGTTGATTGTCTGGATGCAAAACCACGGTGGAATGGAAGTGCTGGTAATCATCAATCATGCTGTTGAAAATGCCAGTTTCAAAGGTCCTGGGGTTCTTTCTCCGCTTTTCTTGTAAAACCATGCAGTGAGATACATGATTCACGAGTGGTTTTGAACAGAGCTCTGGCATGAGTTTTTAACATATTTTGTGGGTGAGAGCAACCTTTTGCACTGCTGCGTGATTCGAAGAGTTGCTTATAGAAAAGTTTTGATAAGAAATTTCACGAGTTTTGGTTTAGTTGATGAACCGTAAATCACTGTATTTCTATGCCACGTCATGGAATCCTGAGTTTTTGCATTACAAGAAATCATGAATAATAGATGAAAGTGTTCTCTCCTTTTCTTCATAACTATGCTGTCATCAACATCGAAATACAATATAACATAGATAAATTAATACTCTATAAATTAGTAATGTTAGATTACATAATGTTTTTGTTTGGTCCCGACTCAAAATTGAAGTTTAAATAATGTCTTGATTAATTAATAAATTTTCATGGTCTTAAGAGTATTTAACCGTGTATGAATAAATAAGCTTCACCTGTGTCTTTTTTTTCCTTAAATGATTATATGATAAGAGGTATATTTAGATTAATTTACTGGTCATCTAAGGTATTAAGTTCTTTCTTGAGTAATTATAAACGCATATTTTTTATATTAGTGTAGTACATTTAAAGAATTTAATGGTTTTGATTCATCAAGAAATGATGTTGGTAAATATTTTCATTATTGTTGTTTAGTTATACCTTGGTCTCAGTTGTGAAAAGCATTAAGGGGTATTTTTAGAGTTGTAGTGGTTGTTTTTTAAAATGTATTTTTTATTTAGAAATATATTAAAATAATATTTTTATTTTTTTGAAAATTATTTTTAATATTAGTATATCAAAATGATTTAAAAACATAAAAATAATTTTAAATAATTTTTTTAAAATTTATCTAATTTCTTTTTAAAACACAATACCAAATGGGGGTTAAATCTCATTGGAATGAGCTAAATTAGATTAGAAACAGTTTAAACAAATGAATTCTAAATAAAATCTGGATTAATTCGAAAATTCTTAATAATTTAGAAAAATTCTTAACTTGGAATTTAATATAATTGAATTTTAAATTAAATCAGAAAAAAATATTTTCTTACTAAAAATTGGATAGTATAATTAATTCCGGTTCAAACCGGATGGAATTAACTCTAATATTCCTCAAATAAAAAATAAAATTTTATTTTAATAAAATTAATTGATTTTGTTCGTTCAACGAATTGATTTAATGATACAAGTTTACAATGGCTGCCAAAATTCTAACAAAAAAAAGTTATTATGGGCCCATAGTTCGGCCAATCCAAGAGTACTTTGGAAAGCTCAAGCCCAAGCCCAAAGCATCCATTGAAAAACAAAGCAGCTTGAGCTAGGCACAAAAGAACAACCTTACGCGTCTGCTGAGCTCTGCTTAGAACACTGTAAGAGGGACTGTTACTGTATTATCTCTCTCGAGCAATCGCTCTTTGGAATCACGTCTTCCACTTTAAGGTACCCTTTTCCTCTTTCTAAATATTATTCAGTGGTAGATATTTTTTTTTGAGAACAATAAGTTTTTTTTTCTTTTTAATTTCACTGTTATTTCTTTTTAATTTCTCCTGAATCAGTAATCAAACAGTTAACTAAAAACAATTTTCTCTAAATTTTCAAAGAAAAGATCTGATGTTGTTCTTAGGTAAATAGTCTAACAAAATTGCTTCTTTTTTTCCCCTGCTTTGTGTTAAAAAAGGTTATATTTTATATATTATGAGATACTTATTTCAATTTTTTTAATGTTTTCAGGTCTTTTTCTTGCTTTCTTTCTTTTGTTTTCAATCCCTTTTTTGTATTAAGAAAGCAAACCCAGATTATGAAAGTTTTGAGCTTTTTTTGGAAACATGGATATTTCTTGATGTTGCATTGTATAATAATGATAATAATAATAATAATCCAAGAAATTTATTGGGATTTTTCTGGTTATCATTTTTTCTTGTAGTTGCATTGATCGAAGCAAGTGTAATTTTCTCCAATTTAACAATTTGGGGTTGAGTATTGTATGTATAGTTGTTAGCATTGTGAATATATGGTATGGATTTAGTTTAGAATCTGATTAGTGGTTGTGAGTTATAATGTATCAAGAAATGAATTGACCTGCTTGTGAATTTGATGTTTTAGCTTTTGGACCGTTTTACTTTAGAATTGATAGAAAACGTCTTGCTTATATCTCTGAGTGTGAATCATTTGAGTATAATTAGTTTGTGTATTTGTGGTAGCTATGTTTAGTTTGCGGTGCAAAGGTATTCTGAGAATGAGATGAGTGTAATGGGATGGGTGTGGAGGTAAACGAGACATTTTCAGTTTAACTTCAAAGTATTAAGATGACTGCAACAAGTGCTTCATCCAGTGCATCGACAACTAGCGGTCCAAAGGTGTCTTTATTTGCTGCCAAGTCAGGGTTTGTTATCCCAAAAAACAAACTTTCAGGTTCATTGGTTCCTATCTTCAAAGGAGGTAAAAAACCAGGTAGTAATGATGCTGTGAATGGAGAAAGTACCAATCAGGTCCAGAGGAAAACGAAATGGGGTCCTGATTTAACACAAGATGCTGATGTTAGAAGGGGGAGAGCCTTGGCTTACCAGGTAAAATTGGGAATTCATTGCATGCAATATGCCATTTCATTTTTTTTTTTCTGTAGGAGCATAACCTTCTCATGTGTGCTTTTAATTTCCAAATTTAATTAGTTGCCAGGTTTTCTTTTTATCAAGATTTAGTTTTTTGAATTTAAAATGGGTTGGAGGCATCTATAGCCTCAGTTTGTGGGAGGAATATGTTGCTCAGTTGGAGGCAACTGAAAATTTCCCCTTTCCCACTGGGTGCTAAAATGTCTTCTCTGTGTGAATGGATGACATGGAAGCTTCCCATTCCAGGTGCCACTAAGTGATATAGAAATTTTGGGCAGACTCGAGTGGATCAAATTGTGCAACAGCTGAAACCAGAAATTTCAGAACCTGGGGGAGATAGAGACTCACATGAACCCAATGAGCTTGAAGATCTCAAATCTTTAAGTCCACTAATCCACAATAAGGTAGAGTGGCTGTTGATTTTACATTGATTTTCATATTCTATTGACATCATTAGTACTGTAAATCACTTCCTTTTGACATTGAGAACTTATTGTTATTGGACATGCTGCGTGTAGAACTCTGAACTTTTGGAACTTGAAAAACAGGAAGCTATAGGTATGTTTTATGCATCTCACTGAATCATGTTACCTTTTCCATTTTGTTATGTATGGGTTGATGGTATCTTTCTCAATTTTCCAGGTGAGATACTTAAGTTGAATCCAACCTACAAGGTACCACCTGACTATAAGCCTTTGCTAAAAGAGACCACAGTTCCTATCCCTGTAAGTCATGTTTGGATGGCTTGGTTTCACATGTCTCCTTTTCCCGAGTCTTAATTCCTTGCGGAATTAAAAGATTCTTGTTGGTTTACTAAAGGCATTTTTATGGCAATTATTTGTTGTAAATTGTCCAGAAATGACTACAAACATTTGCTTTTTCCTAGATATTTTTAAGGTTGAGGATTTTTTACTAACAGGACTTTATTAGCTATTGCTTAGTAGTAGTTCATTGCTATTTTTTCTATTCTTTATTATTATTGTCTGCTGTGTCTGCGTTACTATATAAAGCTAGTTGCTACTTTGGCTATAAACTCATGAATACTAGGAGCAAATTTCTTAGATTTTGAATGGTTACTCCTCAAGCCAGATGGGGATTTAATCTGTGCTGTCATTAGAAATTAAGTATGCACTAGATATGCTGGACACAATTAGCTCAATTGGGTGTGTGTGGGTTTTTTTGGTATCCTCAGTATGTGTGCTAAGTGAATGCCACCTATAAATGTGATATATTAAGTGTGCACTTATTTTGATATTGCTTGCATCATCATGACAAGTAGTTGCTAATGGAAGGTTGTGGTATGTTGCTTCTGCAGGTCAAGGAATATCCTGGATATAATTTTATTGGTCTAATATTTGGGCATGGAAGCGAGACTCAGAAGCGATTAGAAAAGGTGATATAATATCCTTTGGCTGATGCACCCATCTGCTTCTGAGAAAACATTTGCTCTCTCTCTCTCTCTCTCTCTCTCTCTCTCTCTCTCTCCCGCTCTCTTTTTTGATGGGGGTGGCTTCTTTTATATAACTTGTGCATTTTGGCTATCCTCATTCTATTTCCTATCTTGTGAATAGGAAACTGGAGCCAAAATACTAGTACATGGTACCACAGCACATACAGGAGAGAAGGTAACCTATCCTCTTAAGTATAAAGTTATTCTCCTAAGATAATTGGTCATAAACTTGCTCATCTTGCTCCTCTTCTAATTGTTCTATTCATATTACTATCTCCTTGTTGTAAATATATATATATATATATATATA